GAGTGGGACTAATGTTTGTCCCGAAGCTCGACCCACGTGGACCTTGCGTGAAGAGGGAGGGTGTAGGGGGAGAGTTTCGGTGGCTCTCGTCCAGGCACAAATCTCCCTCTCAGTCCCCCCCCGATCCTATGAGGATACCCGGTGTCACCAACGGGGAACTCATAAAGGTGAGGGGATAGGCTGCTTCAGGCTCTCCAACAAGTAGTACATAAACGTGGATCCGACCTGTAAACACGGGATGATGAGATACGAGTCGGGAGGGTAAAGGCAGACAGGGGGCGTAAGCTTGCCGACATGCTTCCCGAAGACCACTCGTGAAGAGGCGCCACGGGGGAAAAGATAAATGGGGAACCCTGTCAACTCCTGCCGTATTTTGCCTCTCGGTCTCCGCTGTGGTCCCGGGAGGACGGAAAACTCTTTCTTAAGAGCCAGTACCCTCCACAGGGAGCACAGTGACAAAAATCATAGGATCCACGGAGAACAACGGACCGGGGGGTTCCGGGAAGTAGCCCGGGGGTAGCAAGGGCCCGGAACCCGAAGACCGTCCGTGGAGGGGGTAGGCAGATATATTTGTCCAAGGACGGGATAAATAGGCCTAAAAATCCCCCTCCGTTCTCGAATTAGTTTAAGATAGGCATCGGGGAGTCCGATCGCGGACGTTGACACAGGCGTGTGTACACCGAACACACATCCAAACCTGTGGCGGCATCCCGCGGGCAAAGGGCACCGATACCGAATAGCGTGCGGGACAGCGATCAAGGACGCGTGGTCACAGACTGGACCGGGCGGATCTTCAACGAGAGGACACCGGAACAGAGGTAAGAGACACAAACGCCAGGAGCGCTCATTCGGGCCCGAGGGAAGGGGGGTGATGGCCGTTCCAGGTATTAAACCCTTCGGGGGCCTGGAAGTGCCGCCTTGAGTAGATTAAAAACGCCTGGGGGCCCGAATGCGATTCCGGACAGCGGGGCGTATACTGGCGAACCGAGTCCCGGAAGCGTGAAGAGCATGTCTTTGCGGGACCACGGCCCAACGAGCCCTGCGGTCATCGTATTCCCGAAGGCAGTTCTCACGAACGAGGCGCCGGACGTAAGGTACGGCATTACCGAAAATAGGCCACACGTGCCGGTAAACATTCGTGACCTTGGAACATATATGTCGACGGGTCACGGGGGCGTTTGGCACACGCTGCAACGATCCGTGGTGCGCCGGAGAGAGAGAGCGTCGACCATTA